ATTTTTAAGTTTTGAGTTTCATTGCGTAATCAGTGACCAGGATATGACATTTTTTTTTTTCGAATTTTCATATATCATAATGGATGCGCTATTTTGAATTTTTAGAACATGATTTTATTTAGATTTATATTCAGTGACCTCAATAAATTACAAGATACTAATTTTTATAAAAATCCAAGGATTTTTCGAATTTTTATCCGCCATTTTAGATTCGTTTAGAATTTTGAAAATTTGAAATCAGATTCAGATTTGGCAACTTCAAAAATCCTCGAGTATGGGGAATATAATATTAGATTTTCAATATTCAAAAATGTTTAAAAATTACTATATTTGAATGAAACTCAGTACTCGGCTATTCTGAGGTTACTGATTACGAATTTGAGCTGAAAATTTAGAAATTTAGAATAGCCAATTTAATATGGCGACTTACAAAAGTAAGCCTTTTTTGAATTTTTGAGTTTTGAGTTTCATTGCGTAATCAGTGACCAGGATATGACAATTATTTTTTCGAATTTTCATATATCATAATGGATGCGCTATTTTGAATTTTCAGAACATGATTTTATTTAGATTTATATTCAGTGACCTCAATAAATTACAAGATACTAATTTTTATAAAAATCCAAGGATTTTTCAAATTTTTATCCGCCATTTTAGATTCGTTTAGAATTTTGAAAATTTGAAATCAGATTCAGATTTGGCAACTTCAAAAATCCTCGAGTATGGGGAATATAATATTAGATTTTCAATATTCAAAAATGTTTAAAAATTACTATATTTGAATGAAACTCAGTACTCGGCTATTCTGAGGTTACTGATTACGAATTTGTGCTGAAAATTTAGAAATTTAGAATAGCCAAATTAATATGGCGACTTACAAAAGTAAGCCTTTTTTGAATTTTTGAGTTTTGAGTTTCATTGCGTAATCAGTGACCAGGATATGACAATTATTTTTTGGAACTTTCGTATATCATAATGGATGCGCTATTTTGAATTTGCAGAACATGGATTTATTTAGACTTATATTCAGTGACCTCAATAAATTACAAGATAAATTACTAATTTTTATAAAAATCCAAGGATTTTTCGAATTTTTATCCATTATTTTAGATTCGTTTAGAATTTTGAAAATTTTAAATCAGATTCAGATTTGGCGACTTCAAAAATCCTCGAGTATGGGGTATCATTCATATAAAATGAGTTATTATTATATTTGAATATTCGGATTCAGCAACCGCAAAAATTTTTATACTGAAAGTTAAGTGTAGTTTTGAAAAAGAAATTCCAACACACTTTTGGCACGAAAAATTATTGTTTGCCCGACAGCAAAGGGGTTAAATACAATTGACTAGGGTAATATTCCTCATCGATTTGTATGGACTGACGTAGCATAATCGAGAACGATCTTGTTTAAAGGAAATCTGCTTTCAAACCGAAACTAATCGCGCAGAGTCCGTTATCGATTATCGTGGATGGAAGTTCCGTCTTATCGGATTTTATAATTTTTCACTTACAATCTCGAGAACTGGTATACGGTATTAACGAAAACTGATAGACGAAAACTCGCAGCGAAAACTGCCGGTCGTTTTAACGAGCGTTCGAGCGGTGCGCATTGTCGTAGCATCAAACTATGTACCGACACACAACTCGTACCAAAATAACAGCAACTCGATAACACGATAACTATAATATGTATTTATAGTTTAGCTGGTCCATGATGCGAGTCTGAAAGTTCAATTAAAACGAGATATTTCTCGGAGAATCTGTGCAGAGAGCCGTAAACTACGCTGTTGTCTACGAACGTGTTTAGATCATGTTGAGCCTAATCACGACTGACAGAAGGTGACCCTCCTCTTTACTATTCTCCCGATCTAGATTTATTATTCAGAGGCACGTATCGTCCACATTATAGCCGCCGATCATATCCCAACATATCTCTCGTTTGCCAATACCTATTTAGTCTCATTGGAAAGACCAACAAATATATATCAGCAAATGAATTATGGATTAATGGATTAATTGATAAATGGATTAATGGATAAATATGGAATAATGGATTAATTAGACTGAGTTGCCACGCGAGTTCGGTGAGCTATAAAAAATCGCGACTGTGGGTTAGAGTGCAGGTAATGCATTTGCGTGCACGTTGAACTTATTAACTTGTACGGAGAGATGCTAGAATGCATATATCCCTAAGTCTGCCTGTCTGAATATCTGCTGAGAATTTAACACAGCAAATTGCCGAGCTGCATAAGCATTCTCGAATGACGTTGCGTCGCGAAACATCGGAAGGTTTTTTTTTTTCGTGTGTATAACCATTCAGAGATGTCACGTTTGTAATTTAGCGTGACAATGAAATAAATAATTAATCAAATTAAATCTCAAAGTCCCAAATTTGCTGCGAAATTTCATATTTCCAAACTGAAGACGTGTTCAAGAGATTTATATATTCGGACGCGGCGGTGACAACTTGTTTCGCAATTCAATCTTTATAAACTTAACTTGTACGGAGAGATGCTAGAATGCATATATCCCTAAGTCTGCCTGTCTGAATATCTGCTGAGAATTTAACACAGCAAATTGCCGAGCTGCATAAGCATTCTCGAATGACGTTGCGTCGCGAAATATCGGAAGGTTTTTTTTTTCGTGTGTATAACCATTCAGAGATGTCACGTTTGTAATTTAGCGTGACGATGAAATAAATAATTAAACAAATTAAATCTCAAAGTCCCAAATTTGCTGCGAAATTTCATATTTCCAAACTGAAGACGTGTTCAAGAGATTTATATATTCGGACGCGGCGGTGACAACTTGTTTTGCAATTCAATCTTTATAAACTTAACTTGTACGGAGAGATGCTAGAATGCATATATCCCTAAGTCTGCCTGTCTGAATATCTGCTGAGAATTTAACACAGCAAATTGCCGAGCTGCATAAGCATTCTCGAATGACGTTGCGTCGCGAAACACCGGAAGGTTTTTTTTTTCGTGTGTGTAACCATTCAGAGATGTCACGTTTGTAATTTAGCGTGACGATGAAATAAATAATTAAACAAATTAAATCTCAAAGTCCCAAATTTGCTGCGAAATTTCATATTTCCAAACTGAAGACGTGTTCAAGAGATTTATATATTCGGACGCGGCGGTGACAACTTGTTTCGCAATTCAATCTTTATATTTCGCGTTGGGAGCTGAAAAATTGCGATAGCGATTAATAACCGGTTAATAACAGTAGCCTATGGCGATGAGGTAATTTTGGCCGTAAGTCTGAATTGAATCACGAGCACAACCTGTCGTTCGACGCGGTATCACGCTTATTTTAACTCGTACACGTTCCCGAGCGCGTATGCGCGCATATGTACCGCTAGATATTCTCGACGAGGATCGAAAAGCGGCGCTAACTCAGCAGGTTAACCCACACGATCGGTCGATCGCGTCATCTCCTTATATCTTCGATGACGTCACGCGAATCACGGTGGGACGGGTTAAGGACCTAGAAATCAGTCTGCAGACCGCCCTGTGCTCTCGATTATCTGGCTGGAGAATTAATTTCACGTTGGCGTGGCATGCGTGATCCCCGTTTTCGCCGAAAATGGACCGTTCTCCTACTTTCCCTTCGTGACCGCGCCGGCAAAAGGAAAAAGAAAGCGAGACACAGAGGGGGAATGAGAAATGAGGAGGAACCGCGAAATTTAATTTCCTTTGATCACTGGTAGACTACCGTTTTAAATTTCCGACGCGTTATTAACGGCGCGAACTTATACATTAATGGTGTAAACGTTATACACATATATTAATGTACAAAGCCTAGTTATGTCTTTCGCGCCACGCGGAAAGGAATGGAGTGAGTATGGATTATCACTTTGAACGTGATAATTGCTATAAAAAACGAATGCGCCCTATGGGATCGTATGAATTATATATAGGGTCTCAGATAATGTAGGATTATCTGAAATGCGACGCAAGGCGATTTGTTTTGCGTCATGCGGCAATAATACACTCGTATCTCTCACTAGATCATGAACGCTCTACTAGATTATAAGCAATAATTCCGTGTGACATTTTAGCTGTATTATTTACCGAGATTTGTCTGTTTATCGCGTGTCATCATGTTTTCATGTAAGCCGGTCGAAGATTAATAGATTAATCTGTTAATAGATTCTAAATAAAAGAATTAGAGAGATAGATAGATAAATAGATAGATAGATAAAGAGAGAAAGGGAGAGAAAGAGAATATTGTCTTGAAATCTTTATCAGGCAAATTATGCGGTACCGTTAATTGCTGTCGCGGATTGATCGCATGTCCCGTGCGCGACTTCAAACGATCTGTTCCTTAACGAAATATCAACTTCTCGTTTCCACGCGACGACTCCGTCGTCAACTGGACGATACTAGCGGCAATCGCGCACTGATAATTACGACTCTGCCGCCAGTGACGGAATAATTTGTCAGCGTCGATAATTGTAATGATTACGCGTCACGTTACACAAACAACCCTGTCATCTTCGAATTTCTTTTTTGTCGACACCAGACACGCTCTCTTTTTTCAACTGCTCCGACTACGCTCCTCCTCGTCTGCCACGACGCCTCGGAGGATGATGAAATAATTAGCAAATGAAGATTGTGCACTCGCCTGGCACACGCATGCACGCTTAAGTATACACACATATACATACACAAAATTGCGCAGGCAATTATCGAGAGTGGATTGATAGGCCTTGTGTTTTGCGTGGCTTTGCCAGACGCACATGCATTATCATTAACAAAGCAATTAAATTCTCGAAAGCACGCGTTCCCTGAAATCTGCTAGGATTTCCAGGGATTTTAAACAAAATGTTCTTACCTTACGGCGTGTACGGCGTATATGGAGCGGGCGGCGCAAGCAATTCCCAGGTGTGAGCAGGCCCTTACAGCCGAGTGATTTGCACGATCCATGAGCTCCATTGGTGGAGACAGTCGGAGCTGGCTCATGTTACATAACGATCGGAGAAAGTCGGAGCAGGTTGTGATGAATAACGGAGAAAAACGTCGCGCTGATCCCACCGCTGGTCGCCGGGAGTGGAGAGCGGCGTGCGAAGAACCGCCCGGAGGATATAAATGCCCATGCTGCCGCGGCACCCTGAAAGGACAGGGACAAAAATATTACAAACATATATGCAGAAAAGAGACGCAGAGAGATCGCCACGAGCGGGAATTCACGATTTACGCCCACAGCGAGACGCGGAGCTGCGCGACCGCCCTGGCCGATGATAATTAGCGCGTGTGACGGAACGATCCGTCATCATCGATAATTATGACGATTATGCGAGAGCACAGACGCGCGCGTACGCGAACGGACGTACGTACGCGTTACGTCGAGCGAAAAGGAAGATACGCCGCATCGCATGCATTAATACGTCCGGCCGTGCCGTATCGCCCAGTAACGCGTCGCACCGACACACACTGCGCGTCCGCAATCGTCGAACTTAATTGCGGCTAAGCTACGAAACGTCGATTAACGATCGCAATAACCGGACGACGCGACACAAGCTTTAAATCAAAGTGGCTGACACCGGTCGACGCCCCGATACGACTGACGATAGCCCCGCTGTTACAACCCTTTACCCGCGTCGCGTCGCGTCCACTCGCGTGCTGGACGGTAAAATAGATTAACAGACGCGACATGGCGCGCGGTAACTTTTGATACGTATTCGTTTTATTCAGCGGACACCGAGCCACGCTTTCCCTCTCATATTTCACTTTTCATCGCCCTCACTCTCCCTTTTTTCGTTTCCCCCTGCGGCGTAAAAAAACGACCGAGCGTGTACGCGCGACAGCGAATTTATACGGCTGAACGTTTTATTTGACTGGATTTTCTCTCCCGCACATATCGAGAGCCGACAATATCGGATTACTACCCGGGTCTCAATAACACTGATTCAATGTGATGTCCTCTCGTCACTGACTGGACGTTCATTCGTCAACTACGTATGCACCGCCGGGCGCGGAGAACAGGTGGAGAGAGGGATGCAAGGGATGCAAGAGATGCAAGGGGTGCAAGGGATGCAAGGGATGCAAGGGATGCAAGGGATGCAAAAGGGAGAGTACACAGCGGTAACGAAATTGTAGTGATTCGTCCGCTGTTTAAACACGATATAAGCCTAAACAGGGAAGGCTCGTTCACTGATGCGGAAAATTGAGGAATGATAGGATGAGCGGGAAATTAATGTGCGTAATAAGCCATTTCATTTGCTATGCTGTCTGCGTCCGTTCCGTTCTGTATCGATCCTTCGAGTGTTCGATGGAAATTTTTCGTTAATATAGAATGAAAAAATGTTTTAGGCAAATTCGAACAGTGAATATAACGTGCACAATATAACGTGAATATAACGTGAACATAACGTAGCATGTGACAAGCGCGTTGAATTTGAAAATAATGTTTGCGGGAGCGAACTTTAACTTCACGTAACTCTAACTCTCAAAACAGTCTATTATTTACTGTCGACATGACTCGAACTCGGGATTCAGGACAAGTTCCTTCCCACTAGGTTCACAGGAAGTCAAACCAAATGGTCATAGTAAATAAATACAAGGAAGACACGGAAGACGGCAAGTTGCCGTCGCTTCGCCATTGTCTAACAATTTAACCTAGAGCTCGACGAGCGACACGCTCTCCGATCGATTTTCGAAAGGCTTGCCTTGTTCTCCTTACTTTATTGTATCGCAAGCAACCAACGAATTCTTTGAATAACTCAAGCTTACGAACGCACGGCGTCCAGCCGCCACCTAGTATGCCCTCCTCCTTCTACAGTGGATCCCCCATGGCGCATTGTCCTTTAAGACCTGCTGTCCATATATGCCCGTGTATGAACAAATTCCGCGACACGTCCAAAGAATGATATGCTTTCTTAACATTTTTAAAGAAAGCAAATGAAATTTTAAGAAGCAGCTCCTTTGGAACTTTGTTCTTTTATATATTTTTGCATATTACAATTTTTATATTTTATAGTGAAAACTTGAGCACAGTAACGCGCGCGTATTAGTATTTGTAACGTCGATTAAAATTTTAATTCTGTATGTTTGTCATGTCGTTTCTCTCGATAGAATGTAAGATTTCGATCAAACGCATTGGGAGTGTATTTTTTACGTGTCTGCCGATCGACACCCAGACCGTTCCTATAGCTTGACCTTTAATATCCTGCGACATTCCTCGTGTGCGGAATTTTCAACGACGTCATACGTCCGCCTACTACAAAGTCGGCGGACATAGGTGGGCGAAGTCACTGAATAAAAATTGGTCGTCTCAATAAAAGCCCATCCCAACAATGGAAATGTTTGATTCTACACATGAAAAGGAAGGACAAAGACCATAGAAGGAGAAGGGCATACTAGGTGGCGGCGGACGCCGTGCGTTCGAGATCTGCGTATCTTCTTCGTTCCAGAAAGAGAAAAATATCGAGAGCGCGGTCCTGCTAGGCCAGGATTCGAATCTAGGTCTTTCGCTTGCCGGGCGACTGCTCTAAACCACTGAGCTACCTCCACGCTCACGACCCTCTCTTTTCCTAGATAACGCTCAGAGATGCCGTTCGGAAGCAACGACGTAAGAGAAACGCGGAACTTTTCGAAAATCGCCGAGCTCTGGTCTAACGACAAAATTGAGAAATAAGTAAGCAATAAGAAAAATAAACAAATAATTTTCAGATTATATCTTATTTTGTACATGTAATAAAATTTATTTTAAAAATTATTATTTTAAAATAATAAAAGTTATAATAAAAGTTATTTTAAAAATTAAATACGATTAATGACCGTGTAAGATTAAAGATTAAAGCCTGTAGAAGATCGGTACGTTTCGATAACTCTTTTCTAGGTGTCTCAGATGAGAGAAGCGTTGAATTGAAATCGAGGAACTTCATAACATGCATTCATTATTGTTTAATTCAATAAAACTGTCTGTTTCAGAATAGAGACGTCTGAAGACTGGCAGTGCCGCCTTCGCAGAAATTGGCGGGATCGCCGCAACCGCACCCAAAGTGATATTAAATAAGATAATCGTAGAATGAACTCGAAATATCCGAACGTTCGAGAATAGCCTCGAACGACCTTGCTGACATTATCGAAATTAATCGATGTGAATTTAAAAATAATTCGCGAAATGTATCGCATCACATTGAGAACGATCTACAACGCAATCCGGGATTCCGCAGGTCGTCGAAACAATTTCTTATAGCGCGATACATTATGCAGCGAAAAAAGTGGACTAGAAAGTACTAAATCTCAGGGTTATGCAAATCTTTTTGCACAAATTGAGTGAAATCGAATAAAAATTGGGTTGAATCGGCTATCTGACGCGAAAATTTTAAACTACAAAACTCTAAACAGGTTGATGCAAGTATGCTGCTCACGACTAAATATTTTTGGTTATGAACACTATAGCTTTTATTTCTGTGTACCTCATCAATTTTTTTATTGGATATAAACCACTATATTTAACGGTAAAAATGAGAAATAAATGAGAATGAAAAATATAAATAAGAAATACGTATTTCAGATATCTTATTATATTTTATTATATCTTATTTTGTATGCCATAAATTTTATTGCCATAAATATTTTTACAAAAAGCAAATACGAATGATGAGATGTGATTTAGGAGATTGGTACGATTTCAGCAGCTACAAATTACGATAAGTGACTTAATAAATTTTAAATCAATCTTTGATAACATACATCCAATAAAGTGAACGTGTTACGTGTGTGATAGAGACGTGTTTGCTCTCGCGTTTGCATATTCCCCTACTCATTATTATATAATTCTACGTTGACATCGCGTTGCGTCGTCCTCCCCCAGGCAATCTGACGCGACCGTCGGTATGCTAATCCCGTCGCTTACTGTGCATATATGACCGCGCGCGTAAGTGAACGAGAGGAAAAGACATCTTTATGTCGTTAATGAAAATCCCGCTGTAAATTACAAGAGTGAGAGTAAAACACAGGCAACCGGCTTTGTTCTTTCTTGCTCTCTGTACGCTTCACGGGAAACGGAACGACGTCGGCGTTAAGTTTACTATGTAGTTTACGTGATGCACGGGAATACATCGGTCGTGCAAAAACACGCGACGTAAGAAAAAAAGAAAAATAATACAAATGCGCGAGATGTGTTATAGTCTATCTCCTCTTGTCGAGGAGAGTTCCGCGCACGATAGAGTCCTACGTAAGCTGACTACGTAGTTTCATTTATGAAGACGTTTGTGATATATGCGGGAAAGAAAAAGAGTCCGTGCTCCCTGAAAATTTCACGCGGGGTAGTCGCGTCTTCTCGATCGCGCCCGGAGATTTATCGGGCAAATCGAAGTGGAATAAGCGACAACGCGCAATGATTTGCGCTACGTCACCGGGCGCATTAATATACTTTGCCGTACGTTCGACCGCCTGACTTTGTCCGGGCCGCATACACGGAGAAGTGAAGGTGCACAGGTAGGTGGAATGGCTCGCTCGCGCGCTCTCACGCTCGGTGCACCTGCATCGGTCGAATTAATGCGCTCGAGTATACGCGGCCTCTGCACGTGGAGAGCGTGACACCGACTTTAATCTCGTTACGCAGATGGTGCGCGCACGTGAAAGCAGCCGCGCGCTCACGCGAATCGGCGTGAAGCGTCACCGCGAATTTTATAAGACATTAATTGCCCCGGCTAGCCGCGGCAATTTATGACTAGCGTCAATTAGAAGAATTTGTAGGAGCTCTTTAATTAGCGTGCAATTCACTCGGCCCCGCTGACTTCCCCCTTTGATCTGCTGCACGAAAATATTTTTTCTTTCTATTTCTTATTTATGTGCGGAAGTCTATCTCTGCTGTGTGACACATAGTTTGATACTTCGAGAACTAGGGTGACCGCTGTCAAATCAACTCATATATTCGCGCAGACCCAAGGGAGAATTCGTGATGGACTTTTGTTGTATGAAGAGCCATTTCTGAAGATGTTGGTCGTGAAGAAACAAACATAATTTATTCACGACCAAGAAATTATATGAGGGAGAGGCGAAATCGAGGAACGCGGACGGATCTTCGGGAAACCTAATGGCCACGTGTGTAAGCCATCACTTTTACTAAAGTGAAATTTGATAGGGCATATAAGGAGCAAGCACGGATGTCTTAGTGCTTATTAAATACTAATATTACTTTTTTAATATTAATAATAATAATTTTAATATTAATAATAATAATATTAATAATTAATAATATAATAATAATATTAATAATTAATATTATAATAATAATAATTTATAATATAATAATTTATAATAATTTATAATATATTAATAATTTGATCCTTCCACAATCAAATTACACATCACATTTTAATATTAAAAAAGTAATATTAGTATTTAACAGCACTAAGACATCCGTGCTTGCTCCTTATGTGCCGTATCAAATCTCACTTTAGTTAATCTATACAAGGAGCTTTCTATTATTTCGGTCCATCACTTCGTTATTGAGTTATTCGCCCGTACGGCGATTCGTCCGTGTACATGTAATCATAATGAGTCCTTTCGCCTGTTGAAATGCGTACAATACGACCGATCAGTTTTGGGAAGTATAAACGCGCGCCGAACTCTGCACCTGTCGTCGCACAGTGGGGACAAATTGAAATAAAAATAGAAATTTATTGCTCAAAAATCACTAAAGATCACAATTTTATAACAATCGGGATGATTTTTTTTTTTTAAATTAAATCAGTATTTAAGTTAATCAATATAGAGAAAAAAACTGTCGGGCCCGATTTTTTTTTAAATTCTTCTAAACGTTGCAATATTAACAAGAATTAAGTTTGTACTCAGCAACCTAAATCTAATATACCTTACAGTGACACATTTCGTGCTACAGAAACATTTTTTTCATATCGGCTATAGGATTGACATACAGCTATTAAATACCAGATTTTAATACTGACTTTACATTTATGTTGAACGACTTTGTATACTCCATTGCAACATATATACTGTGTTAAAACATAATGATTTTGTTTATGTTGACAGGAAATTAGCAGTTGTCAACTGCCAAATTCTGATTTTTATATCAGATTCGTAATCAGCGATGCTGAAAATCTTAGTACACTGTACTGTGCAGCGAAAAGATGGAAAGTTTTCCAATTGGAGTGGCTCACAAAACTTGATAATTTTTTACAAATAGCTTTGCACCGCTGGGACTATGCACATAGTAACTTGATAATTTTTTACAAATTCTTATTAATATTACAACATTTAGAAGAATTTAAAAAAAAATCGGGTTTGACAGTTTTTTTCTATATTGATTAATGTTTAATTAAAAAAACTAATTCATCCTGATTGCTATAAAATTGTGGTCTCTAGCGATTTTTGAACAATAAATTTCTATTTGTCCCCACTGTACGTCGTTTCGCCACTTGTCGCAACTTCACGAGATCGATCGCGCTATTTCTATAACTTCCATGAATCTCTCTTATATGCGTCCCGCGCTCGCCTCTCCGAATAATCCAACTTTACCATCAGTCGCGTTGACGCAATGTCTAAATTGGCTTAATCGCGCGAGCCGTAAACCTGCAGAACGCGTTCTGCAAAGCCTTCGCGTTTCTCGACGAATTGCACGACGGCGAATAGCAGCGATGCAGTTAGAGGCCGAATCAACTGCAATAAAGTGCTATTTTCGTATACCTATAGAAAATTACGGGAATTTCGGCGGTCGCGCTAGCTTGCGATACAGATGGGTGGAACGAACAGTAGGAGGCGACGGAAATCCAGAGAAAAAATATACTTACTGTGTTATTCCAGCCGTTTTTATTTGACAGCATCGAAATCCCGGGAATTAGATTCGCCTGGAACGACCGCTTTTTCTCTTATTTTCTTTCTTCTTTTTTTGTGAAACTGGTCATACATCACAGCTGCACCAAGTTTCCATCTCGAGACTGCAATTCAGCGGCCGATTTCAGTCGCGCGACAAACCTCAATCCATTCCAGGCAGACGTGTTTCAGCGATATGGAACATAGTATATTGTTCGATCAAATTTTAACAGCTCTCTGTCTACCTGTGAAGTGAAGTACTCAGTTGAGGCGTAAAGGCACAAAACAAATATGAAACTCAAAAGTGGTAACCTAATATCTTTAAAACCGTACACCAGGAAAATTGGCACTTGTTCTCGTGTTACTGTATGGCGATTTCGCGCGTTTTTCACCATCGCCATCCGTTAAATTCGCGAACGTGAACGTCATTTAATCACAGCGAGATTGGAGTCGAATTGTAGTATGAGGTTAGTATGAATTGTAAGGCGCACGCATGAAATGGATTCTAGTTAAATTCAAATTTATGGAAACTGCCAATAAACACTCGGCGATTATGCGTGCAACAATCGCGCATACAGATAAGGACCGATTGATATTGGTCCGAAATATTAAACAGTCCCTCATATCGCACGAACCTGCCTCCAGACTGTTATTTATTAGCGTTATTAAGTACTTTGCTGCGAGGTAAATATGGTGATATACACCATATGTTTTAATCCTAACGAGAGTTAAGGCAGGATACCACCTTTGATTGCAATTTTGGAGACGTTTTTCATGATTTTTTTTTTCATACAAAAAATGCGCAGAAAGAAAATCGGTTTTAGCCATTCATTAAGACAATCTTAAGCTGCAATAAAAAATTTTTTAATGTCGAAAAAGTAAAAAATAACCTCTTGTAGGTGGGGCCAAAGTATACGGCTTTTGAGGAACACCGTCAGTCTGCGTGTCAAATTCCTTCTTCTACGTGGCTCATAGAACAAAAATCTAAATTTTTTCTTATTAATAACAATATGTTTTAAGTCTGTACGTAGGGATTTTACGAAATTTCGATTTTTAAGAAAATGGCGGTCATAAAAAAAAAATTCAATTTTTCAGGGTAAAAAAAGTTTATAAAACTGTGCACCAA